TGTAATGACAACGAAACTATCATAATATCAGATTTCATGGACTAGCGTAGCACCGCCTTCTGCACGTAATAGTGCGTTCAAAGAATAGTGGCGCCGTGAAACGTGGCTGTGTTACGTGGCTTACATTTATTGTTATTATTACGAAGAATTTTTTACTATGCGTCCGCTGACTTATTGAGACTTAACTGTGCTCACCTGGTCAATTTGGCATAGTCATTAGCGGTAGGCTTACTATAAAAGGGTGTCGAATACGCTTAGGACATCAGCTTACTTTTCGAGGACGATGACGCCTGCCAAACTAGTCACTCTGGTAAGTTACGTTTTTGTACTTCATTAAGGACCCCGCGTGGAAAACTGGTGTAACGTAAAGGAGATGAGGAATTTAGCATGAGCGTGACGAGGGAACCCTGATGTGCGACCCATTTCTTCAGTTACAGAGTGGATTTCAATAATCCGAGTTTTACTAATCCAGTTACAGTAATCGTGTTACAATAATCCCAGTCTTGCACGAGGAACCCTTTCAATATCTCCCTCAAGGCTAGCAGACAACCCCATTATTTTCGATGGCGTAGAGAACTCCGTACTTTCGCTAATACGGCCAGAGATTATTGTCAATGAAAATGTTACAGTAGTTCATATCTTAGGTTTCTTTTATTACGAAAACTGCTGGTTAACGCTGCGGCTTATGCTCCGGAAGTCATAAGTAGGCTGATAAATTATGAGCAAGCACTTGACCTTGGGCGGGACTCGAACCAGCATCCTCATGCTTTCTGGGCGAGTGCGTTATTCCACCAGGGCTGCCCTTTACCATATGTTCGCTTCCTGAAGATCTGCAATTTCCCTCTGTATTGTTAATTTCCTTTATTTTCATATGAACCAACGATTTCCATTTCACATTACTTTGAGGTTCTCTACTTGCTACCCGCATGTTCAAGCTATCTTCATAACTATTACCCTAACATCATCACCCATTTCAGTGAGTCATTATGGTCATTTAATTAAACCATAAAGCGGAAATTGAGCTGTTTAGGGGTACTTCCGAAATGTCCGATGAGGGGCGATGACCCA